GAAGAAGATGAGTCTTCGTGTTTGAGCAGAGATGTTTCCTGCATTTTGTTGTCTTGATTAGAGTTAGAGAGTAACTCTGATGAATCTCCAAACTCTTCTTTATACATCTCTTCGATCATCGGTTTCCATAGTCGAACTCTCGCGTTAATAAACCAGTTCGCAACCTAAAGAATGTCAAGAACCATAAAAAGCAAGACCAAAAGATTGAACTAACAACAAAATGTGAGATCTCTATCTCTCGCCTTCTCGGTTTACCTGGTTTTTCGATAGTCCTGTCTGCTTCGCAAGCATGATTTTCTCTGATTCCTTAGGATATCTACAAAAAAAAAAAAAGGTTATTCATTAAGCAATGAAGAGCAAAAAGAAAGTGTCTTCTCTTAATCAAAACACTTACGGATGAAGGAAATGCTCGAAAAGCCAAGCGCGGAGTATAGAAACAGAGTTTTCAGGTAAGCCTCTTTGTGGTCTCCAAGCTGGTCTAACCATACCAAGTTGTTGATGCAAAGCTCTTTGTTGTCTCAACCTTTGATCTAAATACCGAAGACGCGGTATCCTCTCTCCTTGTTCATCAGAAGACTCTTTCTCCCCAAGCTTCCCTCTAATAACCTGAATCTGCTCTTTTATCGCATCACGCAAACAGCGGAAATGACGAGAGATTCTATTCAAAGCTACAGATGTATAAGGCTTAGCTGCTCCAAGACCTGTTACCATCTCGAAAGACGAAGCTAATGCTTCCATTTGATGGTAGTATTGGTTATACTTCTTATCCACCTGCACACACAAAAAAACAATCATCAAACAAAAACTAAAAAAAGCTCGAAAAATTCGTGGCTTTGAATCTAAAGTTAAAATTACCTCATCCACCATTGTTAAGAGCTTGTTCTTCTTGTTTTGAAGCTCTTGACGTTCTGAAGAAGATAACTCATCTTCTGTATTGTTGTTATCACTAGACCCATTAGTAAAGTCTTGACCTTTATCGTTCTTCATCTTCTTGTTTTTGTTATTATGATTATGATTACTCCCCAATTTCAAATCTTTTCTTACACTAACAATTTCATCAAGCAATTGTTGTGTTGGTTTAAGGTAACGAGATCTTAAAACACTACTCACAAACCCTGTTGTCTCGTAACGGTAATTGTTGTAATAACCAACACCAGAGGAAGGTAATAATTGCTCAGAT